GGGGGGGGCGTGGAAAGCGCCCGCCCCCCCTACCCCCCCCCTGCTTATTCCCCCGCCTTCCCACCTAGCGCCTCCGTGTCCGGGCTCCCGCAGGACTGGGGAGGGGGATCCTTTGTCTCGCCCGCCCCAGGTTGGCTGCGGGGCTGGGGAGCGCAGGGGGGGCTCTCAAGGCTGAGTTTCCCCCCACCACCACCTTTAAAGCAGTAGCCAGCGTGGGGCAGGGGAGCAGAGCTGGGGGTTGCAAGAGAAATGATCTGCCTGGGGGGGCAGATTCACCCCTCTCCCTCGCTCCCCAAACCGGTCGGACCGCCCCCCCAGCTGGGTGCTGGGGCTGCGCTGCTGCCTGGATCCTTTGGGGAGCGTTTTGTTAGATACAAAAGGCAGCGCCGCCTCTGCTCCGCTCTCCCAGGCGCCGGCAATGGCTGCTTGACGGATGACTGCAGCAGCCTCCTGCCCCTGCGATAGCCGGGTCCCAGAATAACCCTGGGGGGGGGGCCGCGCGCGGCTCCCCCTGGATCTGCCCTGGAGGGCTCAGGGCTGGACATTTTCCATTAAGAAACAGGGGCTGTTTCCCCTTCCCTGGGCTGGGGGCTGCAATTCCCAGGGAGCCCCTCCGGTTGGGAAAGCCCAGCCTCCCCACTCTGCACTACCGAGCCGCCCCCACCTCCCCCCTGATGCCCGTGGCTGACTGATGGCAGCTCTGTCCTTTCACGCATTATTTTTGCAGCCGGCTGAATTCTGGGAAGCTGCAGGATCTGGGAGTGGTGGAAGGAAGCAAGCTGACCCTGGTGCCCACAGTGGAAGCAGGCTTGATGGTAAACAGCCTTCTTCGTCCGCCCCCTCCCCGCGCCCACCCCTTATCGAAGAGCAGGCCTGCGGTCCCCTCCGAGGGGCTGGGGGGCCGTCTGCCCAGCAAGGCAGGTCCCTGGGAGCAGATCGGGGGCCCTGGGAATGGCAGCCTGGTTAATATTTCATTGGCTTCTCTGTAGCCGGGTGTATAAATAGTGAGAGTGACACACAATCCTGGCCGCCCCCCTCCCCGCCACACACACACCCCCTTTTTTTCTCTCTCTTTCAGTCTCAGGCGTCCAGACCAGAACAGTCAGTGATGCAGGCTCTGGAAAGCTTAACTGAAACTCAGGTGAGGAGCCGCAGTAGGAAAGCACTGATGTGGCCCACGGTTTCCCTGCGGGGAGGGGTGTAGGGGGCATCCTCTGGGCCGCTTGAACGGTGGGGCCCCAGCCCAGAGAAGCCAGAAGCCTTATGTACGTTGCATATGGGTCGAATGCCTCCTTGGATGGAGGCCCTGGTTTTAGACTGGCCAGGGGGTGTGCAGACACTTGGGGAGACATGGTCCCTTGCCCTGGAAGAGACAAAAGGCCTAGGGTGGGGGGGGAGTACAGGAGGCCGAGCGGGTGCTTTGCAAAGCCTCAGATGCCCGAGTTTCTGGTCTGCTCAGTCCTGCCCCTTGTGCTGAGACTGGGGGGGTGGTAGGGAGCCATCCGGGCTGTCGCTGTCTTTGCTGTGTGTATTTTGGGACTGGTTTTCCACCCCCCACCCCTCCCATCTGAATATAAAAACAAATGCCAGCCTTGGGCCTTAACCTTTGCCTCCCCGGCAGGCAGGAACAATGCCCCTGTGTGTGCGGAGGCAATCTCTGCCAGCCGGGGTGTGTGCAGGTGGATTATACAATGACACAGCTTTGTCTGAGCTCCCCGCACAGCTCTCCTCCGGGGCGGGGGGGCCGGGCTGGCCGGGGGCAGGAGGGGCCCAGCTTCCTGAGGGCGCAAGCTGTGTGGCAGGGGGGGCAGCTGCCTGGGAAGCTCCTTGGTGACTGGCGAGGCGCTCCCAAACAAGAGGTTGCTAATCAGCCTGGGAGGGGAGGGTGCTTCTGTTTTCTCCTCCCCTGGCTAGTGATGCAAGGCAGGAGCTGGGCCGGCCTTTGTGCGCGTCTGGGCTTGGGGGGGCATTGGGGGGGGGGGCTGCCGC